CACACACACAAACACACACATGTGGCTCCTTTGAAGTCAAGCGATGAGAGAACACCATGCGCATATGGAAGGAGAGAGAAAGGCATAATTCAGATCTTTCTCAACTCAAATTTTCTGCCAGAAAGGCAAGCTATAGCTTTTGATATAGTTATTAATGAATGTCTTACATTTTTGCATGTTATAGTTTGTGTTTACTAAAGTTTATCCAATATCTTTTAACCAGGGGATTTAAAAAAAAAAAAACAAAAAAAAAACAAGGTTTGAACTCAGGCCCTTGTGCTTGCCAGGGAAGCGCTTATTCAACTGAGCCATCTCCCCTGCCCCTGGGGATAGATTTTTGTGTACAGTATTAAATCAAACCAGTAAAGTGAATATGTGTGACTGTCTTCTAGGTGTGCTGTTAAAATTTTTTATGTAAAGAATTTAAATTGCAGAATAAGACACACATTGTGAGCCAACCTTAGGTAAAAATTTCACAGTGTGTGTTTATGCATGATGAGGCGGTATGCTGAAGTGTGGGACAGGGAATGTAAGAATTATTTAAAGATTTGAAAAGCATGATAAGCCATACTTATAATCCCAGCACTCTGGATTATAAGGATCTGGAGCAGAAGGATCCCAAGTTCAAGTCCAGCCTAGGCCACATAGTGAATCAGCCAACCCTGCCTCAAAACAAAGATGTGGGGAGGGATTTATGGGTGTGAAGGTCCTATGTCCCATCCCCACATATCCAGTATAAAAAAAAAAAAAGAAAAGAAAAGAAAAAAGAAAGTCAGGAGATTCAAGTTCTAAAGCAACTTTATATTTTGTTTCTACCTGTATGATTTGCTTATTTTTTGCTAGAATGTATGCTTGCTTTATAAAATTGAAAGAAACTGTCTGTAATTCCCCTGGCTTTCATTACTCTTGACTATAAGATAACAACTTCGCTTTGCAGTGTCATTTGTCTCAATATTTGCCCTTTTGCCTCTGCTACTGATTTTAAACTAGTGTCCTGTGTTTATTTGTCTTTGCCCTCCCATGTGACAGACTCTCTGTGGACAAGCGCTTTCTTTGAATTAGACCTTGGAACATAATGAAGCCTGAACATCACGATGTTATGTTCCAAAGTCTAATTCTATTTAAGAGCACATGTTTAAATTTTTATTTTTATTAGTTCACATTTATAATGCATAACTATTACATGCATCATGGAGTGCTGTTGTGCCCCTTCCTTCCCTTTGTCCCCTTACCAATTTGCAAAAATGTGTCTCTCTGTTTCCTATCTTTAATTGTGTTCTTTGATGTATTTAAGCTTTGAATTTTTCATATAAGAGAACACATAGTTAAGATATTAAGATTTTGATTTATCTTTTGGTGTGACAGTTAAGCTATTTTGATATATTTCATCTTACATCATGGCCTCATTACACCCATTTTCTATTAATAACACAAAGGCGTCCTTCTTTAGAGCAGAATAGTATTCAATAGTGTACAGCCATCACTCTGTGTACATTTGGTATTCATTTCTGTTTTCTATTCTCATTAGAAATATTTCATTTTTTCCTACTCTATCATTTCATACTGTGCCTTGAAGTAAACTTAGTGATAAATCCATGTCAGTCATCCATGAAACCAAAATATCTGTATGCTTATTTCTTGCTCATTATTATATTACATTAGATTATATTGATAGGTAAAAATTAGTAACATTTATTTTTGTAACATTTTGAACAGGTTTAGTATTTCTTAATAACATGATCTCTTGCTGAAGAATCACCTCTTCTCTGTGTCAGATTGCCAACCTTGTGGCTTGTAGAGGAGTTCTTGGATCTGTATTGCAATTTGTGTGCTGTACTTCATTTGCTGCCTGGGTTCCCTAATATAAACACATTTCAAGAGTTATAAATGAGAAACGACAGTCCAAACAAAATATCTTGCACAGGAAGGCATTTACAATTATTTCATAAAGCAATGCCAAAATATTGTCCCATATAGTATCTCAAATGACAAATTCAATAAAATCTTCTAATAGAAAGAAGTTTTTCTAAAGTTCCTCTGTAAATCAGTCCAGGTGGCTTCCTTTTACAGTGACAGGGAGGATTATTTTCAGAATGATGCAAGAAGGGGAGAGAGACAGAAAGTCACAGTGATTTTTAGTAAAAGTTTCCTCAGTCCTGTTCGCAGAGGGAGTTTTGCTTTGTCACAAGTGACTAGCCCATGATTTTGAAAGAGTGAATCATCTTCCTTTGAAACAAGAGATAAGTGGGGGAAAGAGCTGTTTAAAAATTACCGAACAACTATTTCCTTCTGTGCTATGACTTCTGAAACTGGAATGCAATCCAGAATAGCTCCCCTTTGAGTCCCACATTTGTCTGAAGCATTTTTATTGTCTCTCTCCTGCCTCACCCGTCTTACTTCTTTCCTCTCTGTGGTGGACAGATTTACACTGACTGGGCCAACCACTACCTAGCGAAATCGGGTCACAAGCGGCTGATCAAGGATTTGCAACAGGACATTGTGGATGGAGTGCTGCTAGCAGAAATCATCCAGATCATCGGTAAGAACTGCCTGCTCAGAGCACGCACCCAGACTTGGTGCTCACCCCTTGGCTAAACTGCAATTTAAGTTGAACGCATACCAAATTGTTCTAGGAGTTGTGGAGATGAACGCGGCTCTCCCCTCACTTAGAGAAACATGTTTACATGAGGATGTTTGAAAAGAGTGGCTTGGCCACGCTTCTAAATAGCCAGAACTGTATCTTTACATACACTGAATTGTCAAAAGTGAACGCTTCATTAAACCATATGTCCCGCATGTGTGCATTTCATTGGCTGGAACAACTCATATAGCCTGGGATTCCTTGAAACCGTACCCTGATCCAGCAGGAACAATTGTGACAGGTTTCATGTCAGCAGTCATTTGGCGCAAGCGAAAGAATTAGCAGCAAGTTCCTTCTCCAGTCACTTGTTTTTTTTTTTTTTTTTTTTTTTTTTTTCTTGATTTGCACACATAGAATTGGCCGCTGCGAACAAGGGTGTTCTTTTCTACATGGCTCAGGAGATTGAGCAAATGTACCAGTGGCGTTTTCTCTCTCTCTCTCTCTCTCTCTTTTTTTTTTTAGTCTCTTTTTCTATGTGTGTTTCACTTCATGGCTTAAGCATGTTACTCTTTTTCTCTCTCTTTTATTTTATGTCTTGGCTTTAGCAAATGAAAAAGTTGAAGATATCAATGGATGTCCTAGAAGTCATTCTCAGATGGTAAGAATCATATTTATTCTCAATATGTAATGCTTTTCATCATTTCCAGAATTAACTTCATTTTGTAAGTGGATTTGAAAGTTTTCTGCGCCCCTTAGAGGCCACTTGATCCCATTCTGTCACGCGCGTTTCTTTCTAAGGGCACTGTTTATCCATGTGATAGCATCAATTCAGTTGAACAAGTGTGATTCCTACATAATGTATTTCTAGGTTTATTTTTATATCCTTGACTTGTTTGTTGTTCTGAAGTGTTGAATGATTTAATTCTGAGCACTGATATGTATGGCCATAAATCTCATTTCCAATTTTAAGCGGTGCCTTTTTATGGGAACAACTGTTTTGAAGAAAAGAGTTTGCCATATGCATTGTATAATACATACAAATAATGTTTTCTTTGTTCCTGATGAGTCCGATGTAAGCACGTGGACTCTTCAATGTTGTGCAAAGAGTCCTAAAGGCATGCTGCTCTCAATCTGCTAAGCAGTGCGTGATTTTCATATCACTCATGGCTTTCCAGAAAGCCCTCACTTGAGAGGTCTGTCTCTTCCAGGATATATCTTGCCGTTCTCATTTAGTAGAGCTTAACATTTTATAATAAAAATAGACTGATTAACTATTTAGATAGGGGCCAGGGAGATGGCTCAGTAGAATTAGCACTTCCCTGGCAAGAACAAAGGCCTGAGTTCAATCCCTGGTTCTGCCAAAAAACCCAAAAAAACCCAAAAAACAAAACACTATTTAGATAAAATCACAGTTTTAATTAAATAGCTACAAGTTTAATTTTATAGGACAGACACACAGAATGCCCTAACTGAAGTTATATCAAGCAAATCTAACCATGAATGATAGCCCAAATTCCGAATATGGCGCAAATGTAATCATGAATTATAGCCAAAGTACAAGATGAGGCTTCCCTGAAGTTTTTACCACTGGATAAGCACCTTGAGTGCGCTTAATGAAATCTTGTCACATGAGGACATTTATTCAGTTTTCAACCTCGCTGAGCAGCACTCACTTCTGCAGCACAAACACTACACTTGCTGGCCTGTTTTACTTAATGTCAGAAAAACTGAAATCCAAAATAATGAAGAAATTATTATTAAAGTATAGCTGATTAGCATGACTGTGTTTTTCAAATAAATACCACAAAGTCCTATAAAAATGTCATGAACTCTCTGTAGCAGTTGTGAAAAAAAAAATCTTTATGAAAGGAAGTTTCTTCAAAAATACATTTCTGTCTTAAGGGAAATTCCTGATCCATTTACCCTAGGCATAAACATGACTGTGTGCAAATTAATGACAGTTGTTTTCTATAGTTGTACTGACAGCATGCCCTAGTGACATGTGCTCAGCCCCCACCACACTTATAGCTGGGAAGCTGGAAAAACATGTGACCTCTGTGAGCTTTGGCTTTCTCATCTGAAAATTAAGCCCTAATTAGCATGTTGTGATGAGATGTGCATGGAGCATTCTTTATTAATTAAGCTGATGCATAAATGCAGAACAGCACTGTGAAAAAACAGTGCTGTTTCTAAGGGACATACACAGGATTAACATGGGTGAAAATGTTCTTCCGGGCTGTATTTTAAAAGCTTTGTGGAACCTGGAATCATATTTTAACATTAATTTGGTTTTCTTATTTTAACCTTAAGATGCTACTGGATACTATAAAATATATTAAGTTGCAAGACTCACCTATTTTGTCATTCCAATTTGATTATAATTATAGAGAATATAATGAGCAGGTGAGTTTATACTCAATGACAGCAAAAATAAATAAGTAAAAAAAGTTCTGTAAAGCTCATCACAGTATAAAAATGCAGTTTTAGATATCTGAAATATCTATACCTAGAGACTACAAACCTAGTAGTTTTGTGATGCCTCTTAATCCCCATTTCCTCCAAACTACAAGTGGCTGGTGTTCTAAATACTGTCTTGTTAATCCTGCTTGTAATAAACAAATCAAAGATCAAAGCCTAAGACATGCAGATGCTATGGGAAGGGTGATTCTTTTCACAGACAAAACGTATTACAGTAGCTGGAGTCACATAAAAATTTGCGTAATAACTTGGATCATTTTTTTTCTGATGTGGTTGAACTTGAATCTGAAATTGGCATGACCACAGTGTTGATTCAGAAGAATACTTACAAAGCAAATATAACTTCTGGTAACTTTTTTTTTTTTGCCTCTATTGGAAATGATTCACATTGGCTCTATAAAATTAATGAATGCAAATTCCAGACCAGACTGTAACTGAGAAAGTAGAGGAAGAACAATTACAATAGCATGATTAGGCTTGTGAATTTCATGTATCCATTCCAAACAGGATGCTGTATTTCCTTCTTGCATAACCCCAGCAGGATCTACACTGGCTGCAGTTAATGCTATCCCTGCTCTTAGAATTAGTTTTCACTGTCAGTCTTTCCTCAGTCTTTCTTTTTTGTTACTCTGTCTAGTAGAGCAAAAAGTAGGGTAAAACTGTATCTCTAGTTTTTTTCTAGTCCCAGATTGCTTTTATTTAAATTTCAAACTTCATGAACTTTACTATGAAGTCTTTAATAGTATCTTTGATCCTTTAGTAATGGAAGTTTTCTTTTGAGGCATAAATTTACAGTATATTGGTAAATTCCTGTAAAAATAGGAAATTCACTTTTAACCAAAACCAGGTAGCAGATATTTATATCTGCAAATGTTAATCAGGGGTGTAAATTTAAATAAAGAGCAGCCATAGAGTTGCACAAGCAAGTATCAAAGGATCAAGAAAGGGTTGGATTTGGTGTATTTTCAAGACAGACATGTTCTGTAGTTTGAGTATAATGAAAAGCATTTTAAGGGGATGACTTAAGACCCACCCTGATACAGGTCCCCTGTAAGAATGGAGCCTATGGCATTCGAAATCACCTAAGGTTTTTTTTAATTTGGACTGTGACATGATCTGATATAAATATTCAAAATTACCCTAGTTGCTTTCTGAGGTTTGCAGTCTCTAACTGAATGTGGGAAATGTAGAGTTTAGGAGATTTAAAATACTCCCCAATGTTTTGGCCTAAATGATAAGTGGTTACCAGTTATTATTGCTAAGTATTTTTGTGGAAGAAAAAGGTTAAGTGACAGAAGAAGATGAAGCATTCATATTTTGATGTGTAGAGTTTGTTGTATCTCACCAAATAAAGGTAATTTTAGGTAACTTTTTGAGCAGGAATTCCTAAAGGTCAGAGAAAGCTATTAGTTAGATGATACCTAGTTTGTAGGCAGTTGTTGAAGCTGTAAACAAGGATGTGATCTTGTAGGATGTCTATGCAAAGTCAACAGTGTCAAAGGCCAAGGAGCTTCTGGGTATATCCATGTTTATCTGGTGGACAAAAAAAAAAAAAAATGCAAGAGTAAGAAAAAGAAAGTGATAGTGAGAAAGTAAGACCATCATTAAGAGAGCAGATTCCCAAATGCACTATGTTGATGTTTAGGGTGTATCTAAATGCTACAGGTGAAGTCATGGTGTGTGCACCAGCCCAGAGAAATAGAGCAAATATGATGATTTAAATGTGTCAGGTGCTGTCACGTACTATTCAGCCAACTGGAGGGTATGTGAGAATGAGGAAATGAGTTCTGGTGATTAGACAACGATGCAAAGATCTCTTTCCAGCAATAATTTCTTCACAAGTGAATGGCAAGGGTGTGGTGGGTAGGAATCATTTTTCTAGGAAGGTCTAGTTTAACAAAAGAGAAAAACCACATGGTACAAGAGAAATTCAGTGTTGAAGTCAGTGCTTTCCAGGGAGAAATTAACAGAGAGTGGATGAGTAGGGGGAAGGGAGCGAGAGAGAGGATACCAGGTCCTGAAGGAAGTGGTGGAGAAGGCTAAGTTGCAGTCTGAGTGACAGATTTACTGTAGGGAAAATGGGGTCCACATATGATTGGATAAAAATGTAGTATTTGAAATAGATCAACAAAAAATTAAAGGGACTGAAAGTAATACGACCATGACTTCAGGAGTTTGGATAGTACTAGCTTGGTCTTTTTCATGAAATTTTCTTTTATTTCTTTTTTTTTATTTTATTAGGATATTTTTACAATTTATTAGTTTGCAATCATTTTGGGGAGGGGCTACCTGCACATAGCACAGCTTCTTTTTTACTAACCTCATTTCTCTTCCTCCTTCTCCCTCCCTCCTAATTTCCCATCCCGTTTTTCATTCTTGTTTTATTATTAATTTTAGCTCACATTATTGTATATAATGTTTGCATGAATTGATGTTATCACATTCCAGTACACGGCGTATCTTTATTCTGCTCATTTTCTTCTTCCCCTGCTCCTCCTGCTTGCCAGTGAAGTTCTTATTATACTAAACCATCTCCCTTTCCCACAAAAATTAATTTTTAAAAAAGTATTTTTTAAAAATTTTAATACAATTAAAATAAAATCCATCTCCACTTGTTCTCTATATGGAACTCGATGGAGTTCACCCTCAGTCCCCTTCACCCTTATGCTTTCCCCCTCAGTCCACTTCTCTGTTGCAAGAGATCCATCTCCTAGTCCCCTTCTCTCCATCCTTTTTAATACTCTTTATACTCTGCCTTACTCAAATGAGAGATGCCATCAAACATTTAAGTTTATGTGTCTGGTTTACTTCACTCAACATATTTTCTAGGTGTATCGATTTTCCTATGAATGTAGCAAACCTATCATTTTTTTCCCAGCAGAATAGCATTCCATTGTGCATAGATACTACATTTTATAACTTAATCTTCTGTTGATAGGTATACAGGCTGTTTCCAGGGTATAACTATTACAAGTTGTGTTGTTATAAACATTGGCAACATTTATCATATCACTATTCTATGATATGATAAGCTTTTTTGGGAAAGAGAATTACTGGGTCATATTCCATGTAATTTCCTATAGTTTCTTTATAATACAAATTTAATGTATAGATGATCTATTTACTATAGTACATTACAATGGATACATAAAATGTATATATTCATATCTATATATCTAT